GTGGAGGGGTGTGTGTGTGTGCATGAGTGTGTGCATGTGTGGAGGGGTATGTGAGTGTGTGTGTGTGTGCATGTGTGTGTGCATGTGTGGAGGGGTGTGTGTGTGTGCATCTGTGTGTATGCATGTGTTTGTGTGTGGTGGCTTGTGCATGCATATGTGCATCTGTGGGAGATGTGCATGTGTGTGGTGTGTATGGTGCGCATGCATGCATGCATATGTATATGTGCGTACGTGTGTGTGTACATGTGCATGGGCATGGGGCGTGCACGTGGGGGTGTGTGCATGCATTTATGTGTATTGTGTGGCATTCATGTATGTGTATGTATGTGTGTGTTTTTGTGTGTGTGCATGTCAGTGGGGTGGAGTGTGCATGTGGGGTGTGTGCATGCATGTTTGTGTATTATGTGGTATTCATGTATGTGTATGTGTGTTGTGTATTGTGTGTGTTTGTGTGTGTGCATGTGAGTGGGGTGAGTGTGCATGTGGGGATGTGCATGCTTGTGTGTGCATGTGTGTGGTATTCATGTATGTGGTTGTGTGTTGTGTGTTGTGTATGTGTGTGTGGGCATGTGACTGGGGTGTGCATGCATGTGAGTGCATGTGTATGGTATGTGTGGTATGCCTGCCTGGCGTGCATGTGTGTGGGATGTGCATGTGTGGGTGCATGTGTATGCTGTGCTTGCATGCATGTGTATGTGTGTGCATGCATGTGGTGGGTATATGTGTGTGCTCATGTGTGTGATAGATGTACATGTACATGCATGTGTGTGGTGTGTGGTGTGCATGCCTTTATGTGTGCGTTTGCATGTGTGTGCATGTGCATCAGGTGGGGTGTACATGCGTGTGTGGTGTGCATGTGTCTGTGTGCACATGGCTGTGCATGCATGTGGTATAGGGAGGAAGCTAGAGTCTGGGGGTGTCCATCCCTTCTAGGGGGCTCTTCATAGCAGGGTGGGAGATGGACCCACAGAGAAGAACCAGGAGGAGAAAATTGGCTGAGACACCCCAGGGCCACCTGGGAAGGCCAGGGCAGCCTGGGTGGCCAGGGCTGTTTCAGAACTGGATAGTCTCTGGCCAGCAAGCAGAGCCCTTCCTGAGCTGGTGCTGGGAAGTGGATACAGAAGAATGGAGAGTTTTCTTCTGGGCTTGTGACTGGGTGCAGTGGGTGTCCAGGCCTGATATGGACAGGGCCCTGGGGAGGGGATGGGGCTGCTGGGCCTGCCATCAGGGGACTGTTGGCCAATCCACAGAAGAGTCGACCAAAGCAGGCTCAAGGGGCTCAGGCGGCTTTGCCAGCAGCCAGAGGGCCACCGATGTGATGCCACAGCCTCACATACCTTCCACCTTGTGTGTTCTTGGTATGGGGGAAAACATGCGTTCTCTGCGCTGGCTGTGTGTGGATGCGTGCCGGGCCGTGTGGGGGCGTCTGTGAGTGTGCACTCACTCACTCATGCCTTTCTGCCCCTGCCAGCCTGGGCCCGAGGGTATCACAAGCCCCAGGGGCTGCTCTGTCCTCTCCTGGGCAGCCTGCAACCACGTGCCTGTGCCCTGAATGAGGCCATTCTTGCATTGCTATAAAGAAACACCTGAGGCTGGTAAGTTTTCTTATTTTGAGTCAGAGTCCTGCTCTGTTGCCAGGCTGGAGTGCAATGACATGATCTCAGCTCACTGCAACCTCCGCCTCCAAGTACAAGCGATTCTCCTGCCTCAGCCTCCCGAGTAGCTGGGATTACAGGCACGCACCAACGTGCCTAGCTAACTTTTGTGTTTTTAGTAGAGACGGGGTTTCACCATGTTGGCCAGGATGGTCTTGATCTTCTGACCTCATTTACCTGCCTGCCTTGGCCTCCCAAAGTGCTGGGATTACGGGCGTGAGCCACCGCGCCCGGCCTGCCACGCACTTTTCAACAACCAGATCTTGCAAGAACTCACTCGTAAGTAATGTCGAGGATAGCACCAGGTCATGGGACCCACCCCTATGACCCCTTCACCTCCACCAGGCCCCACCCCAGCCCTGGGGATCTCAGTTCAACATGAGGTCTGGGCGGGGACAAATATCCAGACCACATCAGCCCCATCCGCTCGAGGATGAAAGCTTCCTGGATGTCCAGGTGGCAGAGGAGGTCACAACCCCTACCATGACTTTCTTGTGACCCTGAGGGGACCATTGGGGGCCTCTGCCAAGGAGGACTGGGGGACACACTGGGACGCAGCCATGTCCACCCCGCCTTCTCCCATGGGAGGACCCTGGCTGCAGGAGAACCCCAGGCCTCCTGCTGTCCCCAGCGAGGGGGTCCCCGGAGCTCCCTTCTCCCTCCTGCTGGCTGAAGGCCTCCAGGGGAAAGAGAAGGTCAGAGCCAAGGAAAGGTGGGTCTCAGAAGCAGAGACGTGGAGGGGCCTTCCCCAGGGCACACGCAGCCCCCAGAGGCCAAGCTGAGGCTGGGGTTCTCGAAGCACAGGCGTCTTCTCCTAGATCTGTAAGAGCCTCACTCAGCAGCAGGCCGGGCTCTTTCCTGGTGGGCTCCCTGCTGGTTCCCCAGCACAGACTGCAATGCTTAGCAAACAGCAGGTGCTCCGTTCCTTACTGTGTCGGAGGGTGGGTCCAAAGTGAGTGCCTGTCTTTTCTTATTTTTATTTTTTGAGACAGGTTCTCACTCTGTTGGCCAGGCTGGAGTGCAGTGGTGTAATCATAGCTCACTGCAGCCTCGAACACCTGAACTCAAGGGCTCTTCCTGCCTCAACCTCCTGAGTAGCTGGGATCACAGGCGCCCTGAGTGCCTTTTATCAATGGAAGCAGGGCCTGACCAGGCCCAATACCTCTCACCCACCCCCAGGACACAGCGCATTCTCTCATCCCAGCTGTGGAAGCCTGGCTGGGGACCCGGCCTCTGCAAAGCCACCACTCATGTCCATCCCTCTGGTCCTGGCTGCCTGAGCTTCCTCCTAAGTTCCAGCCCTCCCTCACACCCTTCTGCACAAGCAACGCCACTCCCCCTCTTAGCCTCCATTTCCCCATTTGGGGAAGAAAGAAGCCGAGTACAAGGACCCGGGCAGCTCCAGACACCCTGCAGCCCTCCAAGCTGGGGGCGGGGGCATTTGGGGCACTGGGGCTGGCCCTGGGGAGGCGGTGCTGGAGGCCACTGGTCTTCAGAAGATTCCAGAACAGGCAGCCCTATCTCTGGGGTGTGCAAGTGCCAGTGCTTGCAGTGAAGGAGGAAAATGGAAAGAAGCCCGGCAGAGGTGGGTGGTGTGTGGGCGGAGCCACACCTGGGTCTGCACCCTGGGCCTGCACCCTGGGCTGTCTGGACAGCAGAAGGACGTGGCTGTCTGGTTTTACCTGCCTTTGTTCAGTCATGTGACTATTCTGAGATCCTTCGTGCTATTTTTCTAATTGTTCCTAAATTGAATGCTGTTATGGACCTGCCACTGTTTTTTAGGCATCCCTGTTGACGGACATTGGGATACTTCCAGTTTGGGGCTTGTGTGAACATTTGCTTATGAGTCTGCGCAGACACGGCTTTCCAATGGGGCAAACCTAGCTGCTAATGGCTGGTGAATGCTTGCCCTTGAAGACGGTGCCAAAGTGCCTCCCAAGGGGCCCGCACCTTCCACTCCCTCCAGCCTCCCAAGGGGCCCACACCTTCCCCTCCCTCCAGCCGAGAACAAGGGTCAAGGTCTGCCTTCTCCACATCCTTGCCAATACTTGCTACTCTCCAACTCTTGGATTCAGCCGTCCCAGTATGTGTGGGGCAGCCCCTCACTGGGTTTCAATTTGCACATCCCCAAGGTGGGTGATGTTGACCATCTTTCCAGGTGCACGCTGGCCTGGTGCCATATTTTTTTTTTCTTTTGAGACGGAGTTTCACTCTTGTTGTCCGGACTGGAGTACAGTGGCGTGATCTGGGCTCACTGCAACCTCTGCCTCCCAGTTTCAAGAGATTCTCCTGCCTCAGCCTCCCAAGTAGCTAAGATTACAGGTGTCTGCCACCACGCCCCGCTAATTTTTGTATTTTTAGTGAAGACTGGGTTTCACCATGTTGGCCAGGCTGGTCTCAAACTCCTGACCTTGTTATCCGCCCACCTCGGCCTCCCAAAGTGCTAGGATTACAGGCGTGAGCCACTGTGCCCAGTCCTTTTTTTTTTTTTTTTCTTAAAGACAGTGTCTGCTCTGTTGCTGAGGCTGGAATGCCATCATAGTTCACTGCAGCCTCAAGCTCCTGGGCTCTAGTGATCCTCCCATCTCAGCCTCCTGAATAGCTGGGACTATGGGTGCACACCACTACACCTTGCTAATTTTTAAAATCTTTTGTAGAGATGGGGTCTGGCTACACTGCCAAGGCTCATCTCAGACTCCTGGGTTCAACCAGTCCTCCCACCTCAGCCTCCCAAAGGGCTGGGATTACAGGTGTGAGCCACCACGCCCAGCTGTTTTTTTAAAAGGGCTGGAGTGCAGTGGTGTGATCATCGCTCACTGCAGCCTCCACTTCCTGGGTTCAAGCAATCCTCCCGCCTCAGCCTCCCACGTAGCTGGGGCCACACCCAGTTCATGTTTTTAGTTTTTGAAGAGATGGGGTCTTGCTATGTTGAAAAGGCTGTCCTGCTCTCAAGCAGTCCTACCGCGTCCTCCCAAAGTGCCGAGATTACAGGCATGAGCCACTGTACCTAGCCAAAGTTGATTGTTAAAAAGGGCCTGGTGCCAACCTCCCCTGTCTCTGGCTTCTTCTGTCGCCATGTCATCTCTTGCACACACTGGTTCCCCTTCACCTCCCCTTCCCCTTCTGCCACGAGTAAAAACAGGCTGAGGCCTTTGCCAGAGGCAGCTGCTAGAGCCACCTGCTGCGTAGCCTGCAGATCCTGAAGCCAGTCAGCCGCTTTGCCTTATGCACCACGCAGCCTCTGGAGCTCCTTTATAGCAATGCAAATTGGCCCGGACCCCGCCCTCCCCAAGTCTGTCCTTGGAGCTGAGCCCTGCTAATGCTGCGTCTCTCCTCTCTCTGCAGCTACCCGGGAGTCAGCCTTTGTCCACGCCATTGCTTCAGCCGGTGTGGCCTTCGCGGTGACACGCTCGTGTGCAGAGGGCACAGCCGCCATCTGTGGCTGCAGCAGCCGCCACCAGGGCTCACCAGGCAAGGACTGGAAGTGGGGTGGCTGCAGCGAGGACATCGAGTTTGGTGGGATGGTGTCTCGGGAGTTCGCCGACGCCCGGGAGAACCGGCCAGATGCCCGCTCAGCCATGAACCGCCACAACAACGAGGCTGGGCGCCAGGTAGGTTCACGGCCCACAGGAGTGTGGGGAAGGAGGTGCCTCCTCAGCAGGGTATGTACCCTGGTTCCTTGGGGCATGTGGCCTGGTGAGGCAGGATGGTGGCCAGGCCAAGGGTCTGCTGGACTCTTGCCTGTGTGTGTAACGCTTTGCACCAGCCAGCTGCACAAAGCGTCCAGTGCGCTCCTGGGGATGGTGAGCCCACCTGTGGACTGGGGTGGCCAAGCAGGAGGGACAGGCGAAGGCCTGGTCCACAGGAGCCCCTCACAGCCCAGGAGGGAGACTGCCAGGCAGCCACTTCCTCATTGTGAGGGCAGCTCTGCAATGAGGAAGTGCGGGCACTCAGGTGACCCGAGGCCAAGGACAGCTGGCAGTTATTTAGGAGGAGGGAGGCTGGGAGAACCTCCCAGGCAGCCTGGAGGTGAGAGAAAGCAAGTGACTTGGTCTGGGCACAGTATGGCGTGCAGTGGAACAAATAGTGTCTTGCTGTGGAGAGGCCAACCCAGAGCAAGCTGTGTGAAGCTCCGTGAGCCTGTGTCTTGGTCGGTCTGTGCCGCTACAACAAAATACCTTAGACAGGATAATTTATAAGCAACGGAAGTTTAATATCACAGTTCTGGAGCCTGGGAAGTCCAAGGTCATGGCACCAGCACATTCCTTGTCCAGCGAGGGCCTGCTCCTCATGGATGATGCTTTCTGTGTCCTTACTCGGCAGGAGGGTGCAGTTCTCTCTCGGGTTCCTTTTTTTTTTTTGAGATGGAGTCTCGCTCTGTCACCCAGGCTGGAGTGCAGTGGTATGATCTCAGCTCACTGCAACCTCCGCCTCCCTGGTTCAAGTGGTTCTCCTGCCTCAGCCTCCCAAGTAGCTGGGATTACAGGTGTGCACCACCATGCCCAGCTAATTTTTGTATTTTTAGTATAGACGACATTTTACCATGTTGGTCAGGCTGGTCTCAAACTCCTGACCCCGTGATCCACCTGATTCAGCCTCCCAAAGTGCCAGGATTACAGGGGTGTGCCACTGTGCCTGCCCGAATCTGGGGTTACTTTTAGGAGGGCATTGTTTTAGGCCATTCTTGCACAGCTATAAAGAAATGCCTGGGGCCAGGTGATTTATAAAGTAGAGAGGTTTACTGGCCCACGGGTCTGCCGGCTGCACAGCATGGCACCAGCATCTGCTCAGCTTCCTGGGAGACCTCAGGGAGATTACACACATGGCAGAAGATGCAGCGGTGGCAGGCACGTCACACAGGCCAGAGCAGGAGCAAGAGAGAGTGGCAGAGAGGTCGCCACACAGACCTTGTGTGAATGCACTTGCTACGGTGAGGACAGCACCAAGCCACTCGTGAGGGACCTGCCCCCATGACCCAAACACCTCCTCCCGGGTCCCAGGCCCAGCACTGGGGATTCCACCTCAGCATGACATTTGAAGGGGACACAGACCCAAACCATGTCAGCACTAATCCCACTCATGACGCTCCACCTGCACTTGACCAGATCCTAAAGGCCCTGCCTCTTAATGCTGTCACCTTGAGGGTAAAGATTTCTGTTTGTGAGGAGTGGGACCAGAGCCTCGCTGGAGTACAGTGGCCCTATCTCAGCTCACTGCAGCCTCCACCTCCTGTGTTCAAGTGATTTTCCTGCCTCAGCCTTCCGAGTAGCTGGGACTATAGGTACATGCCACCATACCCAGCTAATTTTTTTTTTTTTTTTTTTTTTGCTACGGAATCTCTCTCTGTTGCCCAGGCTAGAGTACAATGGCACGATCTTTGTTCACTGCAACCTCTGCCTCCTGGATTCTAGCGATTCTCCTGCCTCAGTCTCCTGAGTAGCTGGAATTACATGCATGCACCACCATGCACAGCTAATTTTGTATTTTTAGTAGAGATAGGGTTTCACCATGTTGGCCAGGCTGGTCTCGAACTCCTGACCTCGTGATCCACCCACCTCTGCCTCCCAAAGTGCTGAGATTACAGGTGAGCCTGTAATTTCCTAGGTAAAGATTTTAATCCATGAATTTTTGAGGAACACAAACATTCAGACCACAGCAGCTTGCTAAAAAGGACTTGGTCAGAAGGTCGGTGGATGACTGAGGAAGGGAAGATGGCTGACAGGCAGTGACGGATGGAAGGACCAAGAGGCATCCATGTTGGATTTAGCAACATAGCAACATGAAGATGGCAGCTGCCCTTGACTGTAGAATCAGGGGATCATAGAGGGGTGAAGACTGGGCAGGGGATATTCACCTTTCAACAGTGAGGAATTCGATAACTCAGACGAATCTTCCTGCAGAAGACAACTTCAGAGGCAGGATGAGCTATAGGAAACGCCCTGTGAAAAGTGTGGAGCCCCCACATATATACAATTGCCTGGTTCACGACGCACGAGGCAGTGGGGTGCCATGGGAGAAAGGGGCTCTTCAGTAAATGGTGCTCAGTCAACTGGGTGGTGCTGTGGTCTGCATGTGTCTCCCAAAATTCCTATGTTGTAACTTGATCCCCGGGGCAACAGTCAGGAGAGGTGGGACCTAATGGGAAGTGTTTAGGCCATGAGGGTCTTGCCCTCATGAAGGGAGCAATGCTGCTGTAAAAGGACTTGCAGAATAGGGTGTTCTCTCTCTCTTTCTGTCTCTCTCTTGTCTTCCTGCCATATGAGGACGTGATGTTCCTCCCTTCTGAAGGACATGGCATTCATTCAGGGTGCCATCTTGGAAGCAGATAAACTAAGCCCTAACCTGCCAGCACCTTGATCTTAGATTTCCCAGCCCCTCAAACCATGAAAGAATACATTTATGAATTACTCAGTCTCAAGTATTCTGTGGTAGCAATACAGAATTGACTAAGACAGATAGCAACATGAAAAAAAAATAAACCAGGCTTGTACCTCATACCATCTGTATAAATCAATTACAAATCCCAGTGGGAAAGGTAAAACAATAAAACTTTTACTACTCTAAGGTCCTATAAAACAATAAAACTTTTACTACTCTAAGGTCATTTTATATAAGAAAATATAAAATATTTTTGTGACCTTAGAGTAGGCAGTGGTGTCTTAAACAGTCCAAAAAAGTACTCACATTGAAAGAGAAGTGGAATAACATAGACTATATTCAAATTAAGAACTTTCATTCATAAAAAGACACCACTATGGGACTGAAAAGGCACCCAATAGAGGAGGACACGTTCACACACATATGTCCACACTCACGTATGCGGCAAATGCAGAGAAGCCACAGTAGAAAAGGAACTCTGCAGACTAAGAAAAAGATAAACAGCATAACAGGAAAAGTGGTACAAAAATTAAAAACCATGTTCTGAAAGAAAATAGAGGAATGTCAGTGTCTATACTAAAAGTGCTGAGTGTTATGAGCCATCAAGAAAATGCTGTGGGAATCTATGTCCTCGAAAGGGAGAGAGGGGCTCGGAGGCACTGATGTTCTGGGGCACGTAATTTGTATGATTTGGTATATTTTGCACTTATGACACATATACTTTTTTGTATGTCTATTATACTTCCATAAAATGATTTTTTTTTTTCAGGCAGAGTCTCGCTCTGTCACCCAAGCTGTAGTGCAGTAGCACAATCTCGGCTCACTGCAACCTCTGCCTCCTGGGTTCAAGCGATTCTTCTGCCTACGCCTCCCAAGTAGCTGGGACTACAGGCGCCCACCACCATTCCTGGCTAATTTTTGTATTTTTAGTAGAGATGAGGTTTCACCATGTTGGTCAGGCTGGTCTCGAACTCCTGACCTTGTGATCCGCCTGCCTCGATCTCCCAAAGTGCTGCTTTACAAGCATGAGCCACTGCGCCTGGCCCATAAAATGATTTTTAAGTGTCAAATAACTGACTGTGTAGTGAGGAATTAGCAGCCCCTGATCCAAGAGAAGGTCCCAAGCATGGTACCTGGGGTAGCTTCTGTCTAGGGACCATTTGCAGACCTGGAAGAAACTGCAGAGGTTACACTGCATTTCCAGCAGACCCACAGAGCTAAGGGGCCCACCAAGGGTGCGATCTCTGGTAAATCCTTCCTCAGCGTAGGTTACGACCCTGAAGAGCAAAGCCAAGCCACTACCCAACTCCTTGTAGGCAGGCAGCAGCCTCATCCTTCCCTGTGGCTGAAGCCTGGAGGTTCGTTTTCTGCAAAGGCAGAGGTCTGTGATCTGAGGGATGCCAAGCACATCTTGAGAGTGACGCTTCCAAAGTGAAAAGTTTCTCCCTAAATATGGAAGTTCATGCCTTTATCTCTCCTCCTGATTTCCTAAAGCTAGCTGTGAATCCTAGTTATCCTCCAGGCAAGAGGATGGAAGATTCTGCCCTGGGGACTTGGACCAACTCAAAAGAGGAGACTTTAAGATAGTGACTTGTGGCCGGGCGCGGTGGCTCAAGCCTGTAATCCCAGCACTTTGGGAGGCCGAGGCGGGTGGATCACAAGGTCAAGAGATCAAGACCATCCTGGTCAACATTGTGAAACCCCGTCTCTACTAAAACTACAAAACATTAGCTGGGCATGGTGGTGCGTGCCTGTAATCCCAGCTACTCAGGAGGCTGAGGCAGGAGAATTGTCTGAACCCAGGAGGCGGAGGTTGCGGTGAGCCGAGATCGCGCCATTGCACTCCAGCCTGGGTAACATGAGTGAAACTCCGTCTCAAAAAAAAAAAAAAAAAAAGATAGTGACTTGTGGAGGGTCCCAATAAAGCAATACAGCTAGATCACACTATATGGAGGACCAAAGCTGACAAGTCTCTCCCATGTTCAGGAACTTCCAACAAGAATTTTAGTGTCCCATTTTTAAATCTGAGCAGACAGCCAAGGATCACCAGACCTCTGAGGAAGGCCTCTAACAACAACAATGGTAAAGTCCAAAACAAACTCAAACAACTTTATGGGAAAGAGACACCGTAAAGAGAGATGAGCTGGGTACAGTGGCTCACACCTGTGATCCCAGCACTTCAGGAGGCCAAGATGGGCAGATCACAAGGTCAGGAGTTTGAGATCAACCTGACCAACAAGGTGATACCCCATCTCTAATGAAAAAAAAAGAAAGAGATGAAACTTCAACAGATGGTCATTAATATACCCAAGAGATAAAACACTATATCCATAAAATTGGAACAGGATGGTAATTTTAAACATTCAGGTTACAAAGGAGCTCTTAGAAATTAAAACTATGATAACAGAAGCAAAAATCTCAAATTGAAAGACAGTTGAGACACCCTCCCACAAGATCGAGGAAAACAAAGACAAAAGAGATTAAAAATAAGAGAAAGCAGAAGATATGGAGGATCTGTCCAAGAAAGATAATGATGAACAAAAAGAGGAAGCAGTCAGCAAAGAAACGAGGCAGGAGCTTTCCCCAGAACCAGGGAGCACAGGTTTCAGACCAAACAGGCCCATTAAGTGACGAGAACAACGAAAGATAAAGACCTACTTCAAGACACACTGTTGTGAAATTCAGAGCCTACCACACAGAGAAGCCCTCCAAGCTGCCAAGGAGAATGTTTGGGCTTTAGGATCAGGAATCAAAATAGTACCAGACTTTTCAGGAGCAATAATAAAAGCTAGAGGAAAATAGAGTAGTCCAGGCATGGTGGCTCACGCCTGTAATCCCAGCACTTTGGGAGGCTGAGGCGGGTGGATCATGAGATCAGGAGTTCAAGACCAGCCTGACCAACATGGTGAAACCCCCTCTCTACTAAAGATGCAAAAAGTCAGCCAGGTGTGATGGCACGCACCTGTAATCCCAGCTACATGGGAGGCTGGGACAGGGGAATTGCTTGAAGCCAGGAGGCGGAGGTTGCAGTGAGCTGAGATCATGCCATTGCACTCCAGCCTAGACAACAGGGTGAGACTCCATCTCAAAAGAAAAAAAGAAAAGAAAAGAAAATAGAGCAATATTCAGAATTCTAAGATGTAAAAATGATTTTAAGCCAAGAATTCACGTCCCAGCAAAACTATCAATTAAATGGGATAGTAGAAAAAATTTGTTTTTAGACATGACATTTCATAAAATTTACAAGGCCTTTTCTGGGGGCAGGAGATAACTTGTCTGCAAGAAGATGAAATTGATAGAATCGCTGATGTGTTTGGACATCTTGACGAGAATATTATGTAAATAAGGGAGAATTTCTGCCAGGCGCGGTGGCTCAAGCCTGTAATCCCAGCACTTTGGGAGGCCAAGGCGGGTGGATCACAAGGTCAAAAGATCAAGACCATCCTGGTCAACATGGTGAAACCCCGTCTCTACTAAAAATACAAAAATTAGCTGGGCATGGTGGCGCGTGCCTGTAATCCCAGCTAC